ATGCAACTGGCGCAGTACTGGAACAACTGGGAGAAGATAAGCTATGGCACCCAGTTACATACTACTCAAAGTCGCTCAACGAACACGAGCAAAACTATGAGATTTACGACAAGGAGATGCTAGCCATCATTTGGGCACTAGAAAAATACTGGCACTATTTAGAAGGCCACCCAGAACCCATTGAGATTTGGTCAGATCATCTCAACCTTACATACTTCCGTCAGGCACAGAAATTATCCCGGCGCCAAGCACACTGGTCATTATTCCTCACCTGTTTCAACTTTATACTCAGTCACTGACCTGGAAAGACTATGCTACGTGCTGATCCTCTGTCCAGGAGGCCAGACCATGAGAGGGGGGTAGACAGCAACAATTTGAACCAAATGCTGTTAAAACCTGAATTTTTCGCTATCAATGCGATTCGACCCGCTCACGCATCTGAAGTTGATGATGCTCAACTACTGGAAAGGATCAAGAAGGCACTCACAGATGACATGATGACCAAAGATTATCGTGCGCTTTTGACAACAGGACAGCGCGAATTTGGGAAAAACCTCGCAGAATGGAACTTTGAGCACGGACTGCTGCTCCATCGTGGAAAGGTTTATGTCCCCAAGGATAAACAGCTACGCCTTGACCTAATAAAACTCCATCATGACACCTTACCAGCCGGATACCCTGGCAGGTTCAAAACGTTGGAGCTTATTACTCAGAACTATTGGTGGCCAGGAATGTCTGTAATGGTTAAACAATACGTACAAGGTTGCGACAGTTGTCAATGTAACAAGTACTCAAGAGAAAAACCATACGGACTACTACAACCAAACGAGGTACCAGGAGGACCGTGGAAGATCATCACAGTGGATCTCATCACGCAACTTCCTCCAGCCATGGACTTTAGGGGAGAAAAGAAGACGGCAATACTTGTCGTCGTGGACAGACTCACGAAATGAGTGCACTTTTATGTGACGGACGATACAGTCACCTCATCGCAAGTCACTAACGTATTCTATAATGAAGTCTTCAAACTCCACAGATTGCTGCACCAGATTATCTCAGACAGAGGTACTCAATTTGTGAGCAAACTATTCCAGGAGTTTTGCCAGAAGCTCGGTATAAAGTCAACAATGTTCACTGCATATCACCTCCAGACAGATGGTCAGACACAAAGGGTTAACCAGGTGTTGGAACAGTACCTACGAATGTACTGTAACCATAGACAGAACGATTGGGTTTATTACCTGCCGACAGCAGAATTTTCATACAACAACCAGACCCATGAATCCACTGCACTTTCCCCATTCTTTGTCGAATATGGCTGACATCCAAAAATGGCACCAGACGTACACGAATCAATACGTCATCCCTCATTGGAACATTTATTTGCCCACCAATCCGAGGTGCAAGAACAGGCAAAGGCAGCATTGGAAGTTTCGGCTTCACGGATGAAATGGTACTTCGACGAGAAAAAGGGAGAAGTCCCATTCAAAGTCGGAGACCTGGTACTACTCAAGGGAAAGGACCTCAGAGTAAAAGTCAAGTCCGTGAAGCTAGGCACACAAAACTTCGGACCTTACAAAGTACTTCAGAAGCTAGGCCCAGTCACATTTAAACTGGAACTGCCTAAGCAAATGAAGGTCCACCCAGTCTTCCATGCTAGCAAGCTGATCATGTACCATCAAGACACGGTCACAAACCGCGAACCCCCAAAACCCCCAGCCATAGAAATCGAAGGAGAACCAGAATTCGAAGTTGAGGAAATACTAGACTCGAAGGTCGTAAGGGGAAGAGTCCAATATCTCGTCAAATGGAAAGGCTATGACCATTCCGATGATACATGGGAACCCCGAACGAATCTTACCAACGCCGACGAGCTTCTTCAAGAATTCCACCAGCAACACCCAGATGCAGCCAAAGCACCAATCAGGGTTGTCACTTTTGGTGGAAAATGCTTCGAATTATCCTCATATGAAGTTGCACCAATCTCCACACACAGAATCAACATGTCCGACCATTCAGATGAGTTCTTCCTATATCACAAGATGACAGATCTCGCCAAATCACCGAAAAAATCCTCAAATGAAGCAGCAGGATGGGATATTTATGCAGCAGAAACACATGAAATCCCTCCGCATTCACGAGCTGTGGTAGGAACGGGAATCGCAATTGACCCTCCCAAACACACCTATACACGAATAGCTCCATGCAGCGGGCTGGCTGCATGAGGAATTGACGTGGGCACAGGAGTCGTCGATCCAGATTACACTGGAGAACTCAAAGTCGTATTGATCAACACAACAGATTTCGTATTTTCAGTCAAGCCAGGAGATAGAATAGCCCAAATAATCTTCGAGTATTATGCAGAAGGGCTTTCCTCCTGAAGCTACCAACTGTTGCGAGCAACTAGAAGGGGTAATAAAGGTTTTGGCTCCTCGGGACAATGAGCCTTGAGAGGGGGGTAGTGTCACAGATTTTCGCCACAAAGTCCGCATGTGACTTTTCTCACACCACAGATCACATGCTTCACCAATATCTCATGCCACTCAGCCACAGACATGATGCGTAGAGATCAGGTGATAGTCCACATCACATGTTATGGTCCAGACCCACAGATGATACGGTCGGACCTGTCTATTCCAGGATACAATAGAGGCACCCATTTGGGAATAAAGGGAACAAGGACTATTGTTAGGCATCGGCCTTCCGCTTTCTATTAGTTTAGCCAGAAGCCTAGATAGGCACAATGTTCACACCAGAGAACAAAAGGGAAACCAAGATAGGCACGATGTGCACACGCATTACTGCAGCAACCATCAATCTTCCCACTCATTGTTCTACTTCTGGACATCCTATTGTTTCATATACGACCATTAGCTTATACCCGTAGATAGGTAGCTTAGGTAAGATAGCCCGCTGTATGTGTATATAAGACCAGCCATGTAGAGGATGAAACCTCAGATTGTTTCTCCTCGTCTACTACCTGTAGCACTCACTGAGCTCACCAGCTCTTTCATATATCTCTCACCCTTGCCTGCGTCCACCACATCAGCCAGTAAGTCAACAGGCTCTTGTGCCACATAGGGTTCAGGGGGATACCTTTGGGATCAGGGGGATCAGGGCAGCACGTTCCACGTGACTGTCCCTTTTTAGTCCTTTTGATCTCTTGTCCGGTGTTACCGTGACACCTACAGTGCCTGGGAGAAAATATGTGTAAATAATGGAGATCGGAGGCCAGCATTCCACAATTGGCAGGCAGCAAGGCCCGAAAATAGATTATTGATAGACACATGTGATCAATTTCTGGTAACTCTACTTACAGTCGTTGATAACAGTGGCTGCAAGTTCTACAAGAGTCCTCCTATGATGAGGCATCAATAAGCTGCTTTTGACAGTGGGATTCAATGGTGAGAATTCTCACAGCTATCCAGAGCAGTGCAGATCATTGAGGGTGACACCATGGTCGAGTTCGGAGCTAGATGTGAGATGTAAGATACTTTCTTTCACATTTTCGACTTCTGGTGCCATGTTTTTGGTTGTGATGTCAAAGTTATCATAAGCAAATCTTATAAGGCATGCCTCTGTGGGTGTGCAGATGTCAGAAGCACTCCTTTTTGAGGATAGATGGGCTGAGCATATTTGCACAACACAATTGGTGTAAGATTTGATGATTCTGAATTTGCTCGATACAATTTCTAGTGCTCAGGGAGCACCAACTACTACTTTGAGGCAGCTTACATCTGGCCTCCATTATATACACATGTCTCATTGGCAAAAGTGCAAAAACGTTGAAGTAAATTTTAAGGTTCTTTTTGAAAACCTTTGAGCATATTGGGGTGGTTTATCATGCACTATAACACATTATAAATCATTATAAACTCTCTTTCAAACTTAAAAACCTCATAAGTTCTTATTTTTCTAAGCAATTGGTGCCAATTCAATTCAAGAATAATATAGGATTGCAACCTTCACACTGGATAGATTACAAGGGTGGCCAATTTACTTCAAGCTGGCTCTTGCCCAAAGCAATATTTGCACAAGCCAATTTCAAGCCACGTCAGATAGATTATAAGCATGGCCAATCTACTTAAAGCTGGCTCTCTGCATAGCAATACTTATGCGAGCCAATTTTAAGTCTAAATAATCGAGCCCAACATCGCCTCAGCACCTCGACCTCATGTCCTTCCAGGCTAACTAGCTTAGCACATACCCCTGAGATTGTCAGGCTACTTAGCCCTGAATTCTCTATCCACACTGATTGGCAATTGTTTAGGCAATACAGTCAGGTTTGCCTGTTCAAGCAGCCTCCTTATTCGTTGCCATCGCTCCTGATTAGCTGTGATAGCATCAGCATCATTGATCACAATGCTGACGACCCTCCCTTTCTGCCCATTGCTGAACTCACAGCTTAGAATTTCTCACCTGCACTCCGCTGTCACTACCCTGCTCAACGTCATCCCATCCCTCCTCACCCAGCACTTAATAGCCTTCCTTCAAAATCTTTCGATGTGTCTGGCCGGTGCTCCCTCACCTTCTCATGTGTCGCATGGCTCCCTTCAGCACTCTCCATTTTCTCATGTGCTGTGCATCTCCCTCCAGTGCTCCACCGCTGTGGTGCATGCACGCTCGTGGTCGCTGATGGTGAACAATGTCTATCTCACATGTTTGCAACTCATCTTCTCTGCGGTTTCTTTGTGCCTTTGAAGGGGGGGGTCATATAATGCAGTTTCAATGGTTAGAATAGTATAAATATACAGGTAGCAGCTCTAATGACATATATACTAAAGGGTACTACTTGTAGCACTTGTATACTACATGATTTCCATATGCAAAATGCCATGAGTCAGTGCTGGAGAGCTAAAAGATATCATGAAAGATGTCTGAGCACACAAGCAGAGAATCAGAGGCACTCGGAAGGGGGCGAGCTCACCAGTTTAGCACATATTAAAAGTCAGGCATAACCATCGACTGTGATGACCATGTTGCATCAAGAATATCTGCCATCACACATCTAAGAGAGGTGTGAAAGCAGTCATTGGACCAGCTGTCTGTAAAGCTGCACAGAAAGAGGGAGGGCTGTCAGTGACAGTGATGGCAGCATCCGCGGATGGTGTAGGGGCATGATTTTCATCACCAGCAATACGGTGTGTCTTCTTCTTCCTGGGCACACCCTTGTCCTTGTGCATGGCATGAGGCTTTTTGGTAACTGTAACTAACTCATCTTCTGCACCCGAGACAATATTGATGAACTCCATGGACCCACGTTGCATGCAGGGTTTCTTTGCATGTGGTGCAGCAGTGGTTGCTGACCTTTTTTGCACAAGCACAACATTGAAGTCAGACTCTGCAATGGGATGGGCCTGCATGACCATGGTGGTGTTGATTGATGTCAAGGGGGCTATGGTGGCACTGACAATGATGAAACGGCCTGCAGCTGCTTGCAACATCAAGATAGCAGGTGCTAAAATGATAGTTGATGCATCTGCTACCTGGACCATAATGAATATGGTGCCAGCCATGTTGCTTGTGCTGTCAGCTTTATTCACAGACCCATTGCCCTCATCCTCCTCAGCCTCAGCAACCTCAGTGCATGACTCCCTCCAGGTCTTGTACTCAACTGGATCCATCTTATAGAACTGAGCTGTCACCATCTGCCAAGCATAAAGGAGGACATTCAGCTTATCATGTGACCTGACATCACTTGATGAGCAGAACTGCTCAAGAGGTCAACCCTTCATGATTACACTGTACTTGAGCATGATCTTTGACTCGAAGTTTGTATAATACATACATAGAACCTTATGCTGCATGGCAGCATTTGTAAGCATGTGGGGTTAATGAAAGATTAATGCATAATGGTGCCAGAATACTCATGTAGTTTTGCATATATAATGGTGTTTATCTCGCTACGAGTAGCGGCCATATAATTGCGAGACTTGTTCAAGACTCCTAAAGCTCGGTCAGCCTTGTCTTGCACCACAATGCAGCTGGCAATGTATGGTAACGTACCTTGGATGTCACTAATGCAACATTCCTCCATCTGCACTCCAATGTCAGGCAGTTGCTTGCTGAGAACAATATTGAAATAGTCAGCCAGACAATTGCTTGTGTTGAAAATATGACCTATTGTAATGGTCGAGGCTTGATCTCACAAATGATAAGCACAACTTCTGTGCCTGTGTGCACATTGAGGGCTTGCGACTGAAGGAACTGATCAACACAAAAATTTGGATTAAACTGCTACAATGCTCACCTGACATTCGATGCTAGTGAGATTGCCTCATACATCATGAAATGCATTGAGGGGGATGTTGTGCATGCTAGGCTTTCACATCTCCCAGATTTCATTAAGCTTCTCAATCAACAGTTTAGTGTATTCAGTACGCTCTTGCGGGGACATGGCATCTCACTTTTCCTTGGTGCTGGGTGGTAGATTGTTCGACTTATAATGTGATGTGCCTTCAGATAATGCTGTGAGCAATGAAGAGCCAAGATTCTTTTATTATTATAAACTTGAATTGAGAATGGTTTCTTGCTCATCAGTGTTCACCTTGTTCAGCTCGTCTTTCAAAAATGCATTCCACAGATTGGCTTCACGTTCTGAGTCTGCAATGCATGCAAGCTGGGCAAGTTCTCAATGGTAGTACTCAGCACTGTGATCCCCTAGCTTATTGTGCAAGAACTCAGCCTGCTCCTTTACATGAGACTAAGCTAAGTTGACAGCATCTGTGATGGCCTTCTTTCTGTCATTGCATTTGGCTGCCTCTGTGACCTTCTCTACAGGGGTCTTCTTCTTGCCTTGCTGGCTAGCTATAGATCACCATGGGACTTTTGCGAGATTGGTGGGTAGTGAGCAGGTCTGGGTTGTGTAATGAGTGAGATCAGGCTGCTTTGACATGGAAATTTTTGACATGACAGGCAAGGATGTGGACCCACAGAAAAAAAACAGATGGTCAACATAGTCACATAATAAGTAGCCATTAATAGGCACTATGTATCATACCTAGCTAGCTGTCTGAAGGGAGAAGTATATATCATAAAAGGCACAGTATATATGGTACAAGCCTTTCCCTCAGATGTCTGACACCTCAGCCAATTTCTGGCTGCGTTGGATGTACTTCCACAACCACTTTACCTCCCTCACTGGCAGTCCAGCTGAAGCAAGCTTGTCTGTAAACTCAGCCAGGCTTGCACTCATTGAGTATGCATGAATAATCTGCATTACTGACTCATGAGTACATATATCCATGCGCACGAACATAATCATCACCAATCTTGTCCAGAGATGGTGTAGGTGTTGGGTCATCATACAGTTCTTGAAGAGACTGCATGATACCAGCCAGGGTCCATACATGCTGATACACATATACAGGTGGAGGCCTTCTGCACAGACAGAAGCTTCCAGGGAGGGAACATTCCTGACATGTCCACAAGCATGATGAGATGCATTATGCACCATGTCAGGTGTCGCATCCATCAATTGTCTGCTTGGTGTAATGATTTGCATGGGTTTCAGGGCTTGTGCTGCTTGCTTGCCTACACGGCTAGGTGTGGTCAGTGTAAGATGCATCTGCATCCATGTAAGGCCAGCCACTCATGTTGGAGTCTGCGAATATGCAGCAGTGGCCACTGTGTCATCGCCTTCTGTCAATTAATATTAGAAGAATAGCTATGAATATGGTGAGGTACTCACTATCCATCTTTCAGACAGTCCAGAACATCTCATGTAAGTCATCATCAGCAAGGCCTATACAATACATGTGAGCATGAGAGTGACCATGTGAGAGATCAGAAGCCATACCTCCATTGAGCCCTCTAATCTCTGGTCCCTGCACCATCTTATTATCATCATGAGCATCCTTCGTAAGCATATGCTTGAGTGCCTGTGAGAATGCAGATGAGTGGCCAACCCCTGTAATCTTCTTGAAGATGGCCTTGGGAAGACCGTTGATTTGAATGCACATTTTGTCACTGAAGAGTCATGATAAACATTGCTTTGCATTATGCAATTGAATACTTACACCATCAGATATATACTGGAGATGTGCCCATAGACTATGCAGTAGTATGTGTGCATGTTGGGCAAGATCATGCAGGCAATTGCTGAGTGCATGACAGCTTCCACCATATGCTTGGTCTGATTCTTGAGCTCATCATTCATATGATTGACATCCTGTGTCTGCTAAATAGTGTCGCACTTTACCATGACCAGCAAAGGTGGCGTGAATCTGCACCCTGACATTGAAACTCTGTTACAATGTTGTCAGTATCACTTGTTGCTGAGGGCTTGGAGTGCTTACTCTGAGTTTTTGATGCCCAGATAGTAGCATCCAAGAACCACATAAAATGCCTCAGAAGAAGTTGATTGGAGTTGAGTGTGAGACAGTACCATCATTGAAGCAGAAGCAGGCATGTGGTGTGTGGCACTCAATGCAGATTGTGAGTTGAGTGCACCAGTCCATTGATGCACTGGCACATCTCATGCTGGCTCAAGCCCCATACTACTACATATGCATATTTCATCAACAAACCCACTTTGTATAACTCACGCCCATGTCTGAGAAGTGCTTCTCATATTTTTAGACTCAATGATTACACTTATAACCTATGCATTCATTATGTCTGAGTCCACGTCGGTTCACATTCAGTAAGGAGTTTTCGGTCACCATCCTTCTTTCTGACCATTGATACTGTAAAAAATAATCTATAGCAAACTATGTTCATACAGGAAGATTTAACACATAGTCAACAATGCCACTGATATCCCTACATGAGTCCTCATTCTCCCCAAGATCCTGCATATCCTCTCACAGTCATCAGCATCTACTTTCTTGAGCTCATGGTTGACCTGCAACTGTACTGGTGACTTGGTTCCTGCTGGGATAGCTGTGCCCTTCTTGTGGCTGATATTGTGACTTTCAGTGAAGCAGGCAAGGCTATGAATCTGATATAAACATGTGAGAACACACATGTTGACATGGCGGTGATGGAGACAGTAGTCTGCAACAGCACCACAAAGTGAGTTAGTGTTATGAAGCATTCCCTGTTAGAACGTTCAGAACCACATGTGCTTTCTCACATGTACTAGTCCACAACATGGACCGAGACTTAGATATAGAATATACCTAACACCTCCAATAGTCACACAGACTATTAACAGGGTTTATAGTGCTGTTAATGCCTAGTAGATGATGTAGCAGCAAGGTCCTCACTCTACCCTTGCTAGGCCTTGGCCGCTACAGCTACTGCACATTCACCTACAGGTTACTAGGTTCGCTGTTCTGACTCTAACAAGCATACGAACTTACTACCTCTTGAGAGCGAGTACGATTGCACGAGGGTTCTAGAACTGAGAATGTTCAGAGTCACAGATGGAAGAGGTTATCTTCCAGCTGCTACTCTGCCCCTTTATATAGTCACAGACCTATAGTCTGGGGTACTAGTACAAGGGTCCTCTACACTGCCTCAGTGCTAAACATAGAGTAAATGAAATAGACCAAGACAAATACTAACCACTGCGAGCCAAGTAATTGGTGAGCTATTTGTCAGTATAATATAAATAGAAATCTGAAACACGAAGGTCTTGTTCGCATGACCTGAGTGAGTAAGTCATGAAAATAAAAAACTGCTAACCCTAGAATATGTCCACAAGACCTATGAACCATAAATACACCGCAGACATGAAGCGATTTGCACACATGGCAAATGCTTAGCAAATGTCAACAGGTTTTTTTGCCTTTGTGATCTCAATTTGCTATGGTTCCTTCCCACATTCCGTATTAAGTATTTGCATATAATATGTTGGAGGCAGAAATTTAAAACAAAAAATTTAAGAAATGACACCATTTTCAAACTCACCAAATACATTTAGAATTTGAGTGCTGTTGAATGTAATCATACATTTTTGAATTCCAAACCATCACATGTGTAAAATACCCAGTAGCAGATGAAGGTGTAATTACGAAAGACTTTCATTCTAGTAATCTTGGTTAGAATGACTTCAGTAGGGAAGTAGAATGTAGGCATAATTACACCTTTGTCTGCTACTGGGTATTTTATATATGTGATGGTTTGGAATTCAAAAATGTATGATTACATTCAACAGCACTCAAATTCTAAATGTATTTGGTGAGTTTGAAAATGGTGTTATTTCTTAAAATATATGATTTAAATTTCTGCCTCCAACATATTATATGCAAATACTTAATACAGAATGTGGGAAGGAACCATAGCAAATTGAGATCACAAAGGCAAAAAACCTGTTGACATTTGCTAAGCATTTGCCACATGTGCAAAATGCTTCATGTCTGCAGTGATAGTAAGTGTCACATGCAACATAAACTGTCACGTGACCATGAAGCGCTGAAACCGTAACACAAGCTCCCCCTTCCAACCGGCAAGACCCTTGACGACCACTCACCAAACTAACCCATCAACGTGCCTCTCGGACACCTACTCAGCTGTAGACTGGAATGGTGGTGTGATGTATGACCTCTCAATCATCGAGATCCTCCTGGTGATGAGGATGAAAACCAGTAGGTGCCCAGTGCAAGATGGATCCGTCTTCGTAGAAAACTGCCTCTAGTGCATTGTGTCACAGATTTTTGCCACAAAGTCTGCACGTGACTTTTCTCACACCACAGATTACGTGCTTCACCAATATCTCATGCCACTCAGCCACAGACGTGATGCGTAGAGATCAGGTGATAGTCCACATCGCATGTTATGGTCCAGACCCGTGGATGATACGGTCGGACCTGTCTATTCCAGGATACAATAGAGGCACCCATTTGGGAACAAAGGGAACAAGGACTATTGTTATGCATCGGCCTTCCGCTTCCTATTAGTTTAGCCAGAAGCCTAGATAGGTACGATGTTCACACCAGAGAACAAAAGGGAAACCAAGATAGGCACGATGTACACACACATTACTGCGGCAACCATCGATCTTCCCACTCACTGTTCTACTTCCGGACATCCTATTGTTTCATGTACGGCCATTAGCTTATACCCTTAGATAGGTAGCTTAGGTAAGATAGCCCACTGTACGTGTATATAAGACCAGCCATGTAGAGAATGAAACTTCAAATTGTTTCTCCTCGTCTACTACCTGTAGCACTCACTGAGCTCACCAGCTCCTTCATATATCTCTCACCCTTGCCTGCGTCCACCACATCAGCCAGTAAGTCAACAGGCTCTTGTGCCACATAGGGTTCAGGGGGATACCTTTGGGATCAGGGGGATCAGGGTGGCACGTTCCACGTGACTGTCCCTTTTTAGTCTTTTTGATCTCTTGTCCAGTGTTACCGTGACATTAGAAACAATCTGACATTTTCTGCACCCCTGCTTAGTGTCTAACACAAGTGGCCACATATTTTCAGCACAAGCAGTTTCAGCCGTAGCACGTGGCTTTTTTGACACACATTCCAATCTGATCTCTACCCGGCGTGAGCCTCAGCAAGACTCTGAGCTGCCCAAAGCCTCAAAGTGCAAGGCCACCCCCAGGATCGACCTCGACACCCACTACAAGCATCAGGAAACCAACAAGGAGCATGGAAGGCTCCTCACACTTGCATCACTAGGCGCATCATCCACAGACAGGCAGCGAGCAGCAGCTAGGGTTGTAGATACCACACACATCATAAAGCGCGGAATCATCTGCAAGCCACGCGATCACACCCCACCGCTCGAATGCTACAAGCCCAGAAAGGGACGTCTTACCACTGGTAGTCGCAAGCCGGCACCACCCCCAGAGCTTATAACCTCCAACGCCGTTCCCCCCATCATTGTTGCTCCACAGCCAGTGCGACCCCTTCCCAACTTCGTTAAGGTCAACACACATGCACGACCCATTCGCCCTCTTCCATCCAAAGTCAGGCCCACCCTCCACATCGAAACACTCAAGAAGCAGGTCTCTGCTACCCGCTTCAGACTACAACCGATATTAGGAGCGTTCTGGGAGAGAATTGATCAGGACAAATGAAAGAAGGTACAACTCCTCACATCGGAGTTAGACAAAGTCTGTGCAGACCTCTACACGGGAACTCACGAATACACCTTCATCGACAAACAGGTCATCAACACGTGCTGCCTAGAAATAGGAAGGATCAACTTCAAGGAGATAGGGAAGCAGCAGAGGTTAGACGAGATCATCAGGGAGATTGGGAAAGTCAAGGACAAGCAGTACCTAGGCTTCATTTTCAATTAGTTTAACTACATCTATATCACAATGGAAGGAGCCGATCGTGCATACGCATCCACGTTCAGGCAAAGAATGGATGATATTCTGCATACAAACGTTGAGTCAGCACACGATGGAAGCACCCCACGCACCTCGCAGCGCAATTCACCAGAACCTGCACTAGGACCGCAGGATTCTGCATCGCAAGTTGGAGGACCAGCGTCCCCAACCCCATCACTCTTACCCGCCTATGTTCCCCCCATCTGGGAATTCGACGGACACCAGTTCGAGCATCTAGAAGATGCGCTCAGACAGTCCACTCCCGGAGAAGTCCCGGACCACATCCGCGAATGGGTTATTGTGGCAATGAAGCTCACGGTCAGTACCGAGATCACCAAGTTCTACAATGTGCTCAGAAACAAGATGTACGAGCACAAGAAAGCCTTCGAGTCGCTGATCCAAAACAACAAGAGCGAACACCGACTCAAGGAGGCAGTTCTCCAGACGGAGATCGGGAAGCTCAAGAATAGAATCCTCATGCAAGATGCGCATATGACAGTTTTGAACGACGAACTCACGGGAACCCAGGCAGCAATGCTCGACACAGGCAAAGAAATGATGGAAATCAAGGCAGCTAACGTTAAGCTGCAGCACGAGCTAGCTTCGCTCAAAGCAAGCGGCGTCACTACGATGCAAGGTCAAACATCTGGCATGGTCCAAGCGCACAAGCCATGCATCAAAATTGCTGAGCCTCCACACTACTCGAGCAAATGAAGTCTGGAG